AATTTTTAATGCCTATTTACGCGTGCTCAATTGGAATTTTTTTTTTTCCGTAAATAAAATTGCGACGATAAAGCGTGAACCTCCTTTTCAATAGTAGCAAAAAAACAGTGCAACTTTGAATTTGTGAACAAAAATTTCGATGTGGTTCTGAGAAGAAAAAAAAAAAAAAGAATTATCTCTAAATTGTCCTCTTACGCTTGATAAATGATTCCATAAAGTGATAGCATGTTGATAATACTAAATTACGACAAATTATATATACAGATTATAGAAAATTGCAGCGAATTATGGTAATTCAAAAAAAGTGTTCTTTCATTTGAAATTTCCTCGACGCCCGATGATAAATGAACCGTTTCATGAAATAACAACGAGATAGTAATATTTTATATCGAGATCACAGATAAAAATTCCAGCGACGAACGATCGATGTAAGTATTCAATTACCGTGAAGAATATCTTCCTACATTGCGTACTTCCTCGACTCCTATGCCAGTAATTCTTCGATTAATATTGGGAATCGCTTAACAGTATAAAGACGTTTTCTTCACGGCGTAATTATTTCCTACGAAGATTACGAAGGCAGGGCTCTTCCTTTCTACAATATTATTCGATAAAACAACAGAGAACAATAGAACATTCCATCGCGAACTTCATACATCGAGCCGTGTAATCAGATGAAGCAACCCTTTGTGCAATAAACTCCACGCGAACTCGCACGAGTTCGACCACGATGAAAAAAATCGACGAATTAAATGCCCCGAGCTGACCAACCTACGCCAACGTGCTCAAAAATTCACGATCAACGTATGTACGAGATCAACATTACTGCCAACATCTTCGGCACGTATCAGCATTGATACTATCTACATTTTCAATATTCAACTCTGCTGCGTTCTTTCACTCGTTCTCGACATTTCAGTACATGATATTTTTCTGCCTTTCGTAGCAATAGCTCTTTGTGTCGTTCCTTGTTGAAAATATTTGAATGTACTTTCGGAACCAAGATTAAATTACGAAAATCCGAGGATCGTAACAAGATTTAACTGTTATCCTCTCTCTCTCTGTCTCTCTCTCTTTCTTTATCTCTCTGTATCGAAAGTCGAAGTAAAGTGACAGATAGACAGTCGAACCGATCCGGTTGAAAGTCACCCAGAAAACCAATCGATCGTGAACTTGCCGCAAGGTCGGGGTCATCGAAGGTCCGGCCTTGGCCTGCGGAAGAGTCACGTAACGACAGGCTGACCGTGGCAGTGGAGGAAGGAAGCAGTGACGACGACCTCGCCGAGTCAGACACGAGGGGAGAAAGTGTAACCGATCCCAAGAGCTCGAAATCGAAAGTAATTTCCTCCATCCCGCTCTTTCTCTCCTTTCTCTCCGGTTCCACGGTGCCCGCGACGATGATTCTTTCTCCCAGGCCCGTGGATTCAGGTCAAGTTCACCGACTGTCTGTCCCGGCCTGCCTGTCCTCTCTCCTCTCGCTCTCTCATCTCGCTTTCTCGCGACGTTTTTCCACCGATACCACCGGCCCGATCCTCTCATTTTTCCATTCCGCTTTCTATCGGGAGATCGATTCGATCGAGCATTTGCATACTTTGGTTGGATGTTTTGTTGGTCCATACGATTATAAGACGATAATGATAGTTATGTGCCTCTGCTTTGATGAAACTGTACGATTCGCAATGTTTCTATCTCTCGTTTAAAATGCTCCTACAACCATTTAAGACTGGACAGAAAGATTATGAATGAATTATGTTGCAATTTCACACGACGAAGGAAAATACTTGCAACGTTAATAAGATAATAATAAAATTATTCGTGAAACCCGCGATTTCGAATGCAACGATAATCATAAAAATCCAATAATTGCCCAATCAATTTAAAACTTTATTGAGAAAAGAAAGAAATGCACCTGTACCATTTCTCAGCCGAGCGGCAAATAGCTTACAATTTCTCTTACGAAATCGTTAGAACGTTGATCTAACGCGAATGCGGCGCGTTCGCTCGGCGATTTCACTGGTTACACGAGCCACGAGCCACGGCCGCGTTTATTACGTCAGTGTCAATGGCACGACGGAGACGAAGACTCGCGAGCACAGGTAAGAGTCCGCGGTTCGCTGAACCGAATTTCCCTCCGGTGGTTGCCGAAGGAATGCAAAGCTAGGTGAACCCGACTGGAAACGTCGTGTCTCGGGTGTCCCAAACGTGCTCCAGAGGGGGCCAACGATTGCTTTACGGCGCGGCGGCTCCTATACTGACCGGAATCAACTTCCTCGCGTCGCGAATATATTAGGGGACACGCGTCTATCTATGTACGTAGCGCTTTTCGACACTCACGCTCTCGGACTCTTTCTGAACGAGACGAAAACTCATCCACAAAGCGATCTACTTTTACACCAATTCTCCAATTTATTTCTCTCAGTATGTCGAGAAGCTTCGAATTTTAATACTTGCGTAGAATTTATGATGCATAGGTATGTTCTTTGCACGTCTAATTATTGTTCTGCCATTCGAAAGGTTCAAATTTTCATACTTGAGTAGAATTTACGTAGATATGTGCTTTGTATATCCAGTTGTTGTTCTGTTATTCAAAAGGTTCAAATTTTGATACTTGGGTAGAATTAACGTAGATGTATATATATCCAATATAATATTGTACGATATAAAATATTGTTTATATATCCAATATTTATATAATCCAATTATTGTTCTGTCATTCAAAAGGTTCAAATTTTATGATATTTGGGTAGAATTAACGTAGATATATATATATCCAATATAATATTGTACAATATAAAGTATTGTTTATATATCCAATTATTGTTCTTTGATACTTGCGTAGAATTAACGTAGGATGTATATATATCCAATATAATATTGTACAATATAAAATATTGTTTATATATCCAATATTTATATATCCAATATACCCTTTATATATCCAATTATTGTTCTGTCATTCAAAAGCTTAGAATTTTAATACTTGGATCGAACTTACGTTTCACGCATTTATCTAGAATACTCTGATTCTACGTTAGACGTTTCATACAGCTTTACATCCTCGAGTTTCGAACAAACGCGTGAAAACTCGCAATCGACTAATACCACTTTCTGTCGATGCAAGCGAGCAAACTTTAATGAAATTTCATCGGGATTCCATTTGTACGCTGGACCCTTCGGAAAGACCGAAAAGTAACAAGTGGGAACGGAAGTTGCGAAATTTCACGACCTCGTGGAACCCAAAGGGAAATCTGCGTCAGTGAGATCGTAAAGACCAGAAAGAAGTAGGAAAAAGTTTGGCGGCAAAGCAAATAAACAGAGGAGAAACTCCTCGATGGTTGCGGAGACGAATTCGCCGGAAGCTGGCCTTCGTAGTTCTTCTCGGAATAGTTTCCACCAGAAACTGAATTTAGAATCATCTGGTGAAGAGCGCCACGAGCTCTCTCGTGTGGTGACCGATAGTGAGTCAGCAGATTGTGGATCTAATGGCATTGACCACTCTGTTCGACAAATACATATCTCGAAACGAATTGCCGCGTACGGACCTTAACATAATTTCAACGTCGTCCTTATGTGCCGGATCTATGAGTCACACGGCGGTATATATCATAACGCGGTGCAATTAAGCATTCAAATATTTGAATTTCAGTCGAGTTGCCTTTCTGCATTCTGAATATCGGTCATGGACCCAGCTCTAGACGCAATGGTAACGATACCGGTTATCGTATTGTAACTTGTGACATAATTAACCACGTCGCCAATTTCGATCGAACCCATTCGTATCAACTTTTATTATTTGAACGAATTGTCGTGTATAGTTGTACCATAAGTTGTACTATACGTAGGGACAAAGAGACGGAAGAATTAGCCTCCTCCGGCATCTCGTTCCAATGAGATTGAATGTTCAAGAAAAATCAAAAGAAAAGAAAACTTCACGAATCATCAGCAGCATATCTCTCAGATTCCAAAAATCTCTCAATGACGAAGAAATACTATCGTATCGAAGGACAAGAAATTCTACAATTTTCACTAAAACAGTGCACTGCGTAGTCTAAAAGAAAATCACTTACGAGGGCCTCGTACTCGTTCTCGATCGCACGTTGCACGATGGTGATGAACCTCTGTACTCGAGGAATCATTCATATTGCGCCTTCTACGTGTATCTTCGATTCTTCAGCAGTGCGTTTGATAAGTCGAACAGTTCGAGCATCGTCGGAAGGACGAAGAAGAAGAAGAAGAAGAAGAAGAAGAAAAGAAAAAAAGAAAAGAAAAGACGAGAGACTCCCCGAATGAGAAATCAGACGCGCTCGGGACGACGTGCGGAGCGCGAATGCGCGACGGCAAGCGCGCACCGCGGCTCCTGCGTCTCTGCGCAGTGGCGTTCGCGCACTTGTACCGGCTCTGCTTGTGGTGGACTCTTCCTCGTCCTCTTCCTTGGCGGCGCGCCGCGACCCTCGAAAACTCGCTAGCGAGCAAGTCCAGCTACGCGGCGCGCCGGTGCACTGAAATCAACGCTGATTCTCACAACTCCGAAATGCACGGCGTTGCTCGAATGCGACGTCCACCCACTCCCCCGTTTTGCGAATTTGCTTGTGCGTACGCGTGTCAAGCTCGGATATGCAAACTCGGTGGTTAAATTACCACGGAGCGAAGCAGAAAGTGAGGGAGAGTGTTGGTGGAGAGAAGAGGACGAACGAGATGAGAGAAACGAAAGCGGTGAACCCGGGGGGACAGAGAAAGATGAAGAGAAACATTTGCAACGATGAAACCAAAAGAGAGAGAGAGAGAGAGAGAGAGAAGGGAGGGAAAGAAAGAAGAGAGAGTGGCGAGGACGATAGAGGAGAGAAGAGGAGAGGATGCTCCGGTGTAGCCGGCGGGCACACATCGGCTCCTCTCCCTCGCCAATCGGCGCGCGCGGCGTGGGGCGAGTTTGAGGTAGGGGGCCGCACGACGCACAGCGGTGGTGGCGGTGGCGTGCTGCGGCGGTGGCGGCGGCGGTGGCGGCGGCGCGGCTGCCAAGGTATTTAAGGTACCGTGAACCGGCGGCGCACGAGTAGTTCACTTCTGTTCGGTGCGGTGTCGCGGTGATTTTGAGGGGACAGAAGAGAAAGAAAGGGAGAAAGAGGAAACACATAGGGGTCCAGGGAGAAAACGGGAGAAAGAGAGAGAAAGAGAGAGAGAGAGAGAGAGAGAGAGAGAACGGCCGGGACTCGCACTTCCCAAGGGTGCGAGACACCAGCCAAAGAAATAATCACTTCGGTGTGTGTCTAACCTGGACCTTCGTTGAGAGAAAAAGAAAGAAAGAAAGAGAGAAAGAAAACGAAAATAAAAGAGAACGTTAAAGCCAACGTTTATAGTTTGCCGGCCCGCGTAGTTTTCTAGACCGCGAAACGGAACGTTTCATCATCCTTTCGAACAGTGAGACCGAAGAGGTTCGTCGACTTCAGTTCCAGAGGAAGATCTCGAAGCACGATTGCAACGAGTTACGAATTTTCGAATCGAGACCGGGAGAGCAACACGTCGCCGGACGGGATCACCGTGGTCGTCTGTCGTTGACGACCGTCCTGGATAGGTAAGTCTGAGAAAGAAAGAAAAAAAAAAGAAAAAAAAAAAAAGAAACAGTGTGGATTATGTATAGTGCGATGAAAATGCCGGAAAGGGTGGAAAAGGGTGGAACGTAATCCTGTGAGCGCGTACGCTCGCGAAACCGCCTCTCCTCGATCCTCGATGGTGATGTCAAGTGATCAAGATCAGTGATTCTGTTGCACTGTGCTCTCACTCGCGATCAAACGGACCGCATCTCCTTGTTGTTCCACTGCTCTTCTCGTCTTCATCTTTGACGTCGTCGTCGACGTTGTTCGAACGAGGAATTTACAAAACTGTGACCACGTATATGTGCCTCGATGCAGGAACACGTTGATCCCCCAAAGTGCTCTTTCAACCAAAGTACGTATTGCTATGTGCAATGGATAAAGAGAGGTTTTCGAATAGTCGAGGCTCTCGTTCGGCCGAGTACTCGTGAAATAATAATAATACTTGAACGTAAACGTGCAAAGTGATCCGATTAGCTTTCGAGCGCGATCGTTGTGAGTTCTCGGATCGATAGGACCCCGCGTCGAGTGTAAAATCTCGTAAAGCCGTATCAAAAAGTCGATCGTAAAATACACCTGTTACGTATCTCGCGTGAACACGAGAATTACGGACGAGCGGGTAACAGCGATAATGTCGATCACTTTACATCAAATTGACTTCGTTCTTTAATGAAAAAAGAAAGAGAGAAAGAGAGAGAGAGAGAGAGAGAGAGAAAACTACAAACAGAGAAATTTCAATCTCGCCTGGGGAAAACCGATTGGTTAAAGTGGTTTTTCCGCCGCGGGCGACTCACCGGCAACAAGTCGCGCGAGAATGGACCGGTTCGACTCCGGAACGGAGTCAAAGAGAGGCCCCCGGGCCTAAATAATTCAACGCGGCGGGTACAATAGGTATGCGTGTCGACCTGCAGCCGTCGAAGGCTAGTCCGTCGTGCACGAACAACACCTCGTACAATTAAGAAACCGTGTCTGAATACCGAGGCAAACACCGCCGATGACCGTGAATACCAAAGAAGCAAAATACCCGTAACATCCGTGTAAATCGTCGTTGATCGACGCTACGAAATTTCAGGATCGAAGGAAGTAAGAGTTATCGCAGAACGAAACGAGAAGGAACGAAATTCTTTCCCGGCTGGCTTATCGTTAAAAACTATTTCGCGATGAGTTCGTACGGGCGAACGAGCCGCCTCTCGATCCCTCTCGAGCGATCCTTCCGATCGTTCGGCTGGTCCGTGAACAAAAGGGGGAGAACGGTCGAAACGGTATCGATTTTTCCCCGTGGCGGGTCCGCCGTTACGGAATATAAAATAGGGTCCCGCGGAGGTGGAACGCGCGCCAGTATAATGAGTCAGAAGGAATTCCAAGGACCGGAATAATGGATCGTTCCCGTGAGCGACACGCCGGCCACAGACCGACAAAAATGTAAACTGGGAGAGAATCTATTGAGGCTCGCGCGCGGGCTCCTTTGTATCCCGTCGGCGTAAAGCGAACGGGGTTTCCATTCGAGTGGACGAGCCTTAAATTCCTTCGTTAAATCGGACTCTCGACGTCGCGACGCGAACGATGACGACGAGATGAAGACGAGACTCGGCAGCGGTACGATGTGGCACCGCTGCTGATTGTGAGAGCAAACACTAATCCCTCCTTCGCTTTTCAAATAATTGAGACGTTTTCTAGACATCGCCGCGTTCCGAACAATTTTTCGTTGCTGTAAAATTTCATCTTCGCCTGACGTATTATTGTTCGTACTGTTTAAAAAGCAGTTGCCCCCAAGGGGTTAATATTGTTACACGTTATTGCTGTTAAGCTTTGTAGTTTTCGGTCGCTCTAATCAGTGACTCGAGGCGTTTCGAACGAATGTTCTTCTGTTCCCTGAAATGAGAATAAAGAGAGCGAATTTGCCACGGTCGAGAAGTTACGTCGGAGGAGTTACGATTGCATTATGATCCGTGATCGGAACGTTGAGCGAGCGTGCACGCGCACGTAGCCGATCCGTGAATCATCTTTCTGCCAGGAAACGCGCGCTTTCTGATCAACGATTCACTCCTCTGCCTCTACCTGCTACGTAATAACAACAACGAGCGATTAATTATGCGACCGCGCGTTATCCGCTAATTATCGCCGACCGTGGAAGCCATCCACGGTGTGTTTCTACTTCACGCCGTGCTAGGAATCTTCGTGAGCTACCTATTCTCCATGAGAGTTCGATAACCGATGCTGCCTCCGTGAACTCTACGAACGAGCGAGCTTGGCACATTACTTCCCATGAGTTTGAAGTTTTTCATCCTGCCTTTTGATTTATGCATGAGGATCTTTCGAAGATCGGGCAGCTTCTGGCAACGCGATGCAAATAATTGATTTTTATGACCTTTGCGTTAGAAGTATAAAATTGTCGAATTTACGTAACCCATCTGCATTTATATTTGCAACGTACGCGTAGCAGCGGTGTTACACGCTTGGACGAACAAAGATTCATCGATACGAAATGAGACGTGAATCTACCAAGTCGCAACCCGAAACCTTCAAATCCCATCTCCAAGTGTTTGTCTCATTTCCCAGCTTCGTTCCTTGCGTGCATGAATCATTAGAGGGACAAGAACCGGTCGAATATCGTAGAACACCACCGATGCGAAATTGTAACGACGTCGCGTCGGTGGTTCTCCCCTCGGCTCTCGCACGAAAGCTTTGACTGCCAATTGAATTTCAATAGCTCACAATTTTTCCCAAAACGCTCGCCTCCGTGCGCGGCTCGCTTCCGTGTGCATCGCATTGTCACAAAGACACATCCGTCAAATCCCACTGATGCGAAACCATAACGATGTCGCATCGGTGATCTAATCCCGGCTTAATTCATTTTCTCCCATAATTCTCACTCTATACATTTGTATTGTTCCAATGTTACACTGCTTCGTTAAAAATACAAACGCGTAACGTCACATCGGCTCCAACTTTAACTAACAAAATCGCTGGGACTTTGTTTCATCGACTCGGTTCGTTTGCGACCGAGGTCTTGCGTACCTCTTCGTGACACGTAACTGTTTTAATCGATAGAGAAGGAAGAAAAACAAAAAAAAAAAAAAAAAAAAAAAAAAAAAATGCCGGTTCGAAGAAGAGTTAAACTACGAGAGAGACCTCGATTACCATCGTGCCATTTGCATGCGCATTTTCTTCGCGACGGAAGGATCAGCAGAGTCGTACTCGTCGTACAATACACTGATTACCCCGGCTCTTCTTACCTGCGGCTCGGGCAGCTAATTGCTAATTACTAAACGCTAATTACCGAGACCGTCTTCTGGTCGTGTTGGTTGCACCGAGAGGAGGGCAGCCAGGGTTTTCTGGCCGGCTTGTTAGTCAGTCGCAGCGACGAAAATGAAATAGAGTAATGGAGTGTAAGTAAGAAGCTATCACGCGATCCGCGAGCAATAACCGTGGAGAATCCTGCGAGCTAGAGCTTAATTGCGATCGATCGCGGCGAAAGAGAAAGGGGGGGGGGAGGGAGAGACTCGTTTTACGTAAGCCGATTTCGTACCAATTCCGTGCAGCCTTCCAACGGAAAATCGAAAACGAAAACAGCGATATCTCCGCGAAATTCCAAAATCGTTTCTGCAAGATGTATCGCGTAAAAAAATCCTATGTCTCTGACGTATGAAAGTAATCTTCAAATATCAAAAATATTAAAATTTCTATGAAATTCTGTATCTTTCACGTGTGAGAATAATAACCTTCAAATATCAAATATATTAAAACTTCTATAATATTTTTCAAGTAGATACGCACGTTTTCTTTTAAACTCAGATCAAAGGTTCTCAGCGTCGAAAAATTTTAATGCCAATGACGTTATTTTATGACAATGTCAATGATCGGTGTAAAGTCCAGTGAATAATTCTCTCGGAAGAGATCTATTGGGTGAATTATTATTCCGGTGTGATTGCTTTCGTCATCGTAGCAAACGAGTCGCAAGAGGAATTAATTGATAATTCGGAAGAAAAAGGAACGAAAGAGAAAGAGAAAAAAAAGATAATACATAGGAAAATGGTACGATCGATAACGGTGGTGGATTTCGAGTTAGGTGTGCGACGAATTAATTGTTTTCGGCGATAATTACTAACCAGATTATAATTGGCCGTGGGTTTTTCTTCTCCTCTCGTCTGCTTTGCATAAGCGGATGTCACTTTTTTCTAAGCCAGACGCGCACAAACTTTCCTTTGTCTAGCGTTGCCGAACTGTATCCAATGGATAAGAACAGATGTCGCACAACTTCTTGGCACGACACGTCCACCTTCTTACGTGACACGCTTCGCCATTTTCACGACTCGTTGAGTAAACTCGATTCCCAATCAAACGGTGCACCCAGAGATTGCACGAATTCAGAATTGCGAATCGATCGAGCAAATGAAGAATTGTCGGCGAATCTCGGTGAATCGAGCGAGGCAAAAATATTCTGTATTATCGCAGTGAAAGTATCCAACAAAGTTGAGCAAGGATTTGTGTTCTGTTACGTGCGTGTGGCATCGTTAGGCCATTAGCTCTTCCATTCGGCTCCTCGCTTCACCGACCGTTTGAATCACGTACGCGGACCCACACGAAACGGTAAAAAGCCGGAGATTCGGCTAGTGCCATGAATTTGGGTCGTGCGACCGACAGGCCGCTTTTGCCCTGAAAAAAAAAGCGAACCTCCTCGATCCGCCGCCTATGACTCTTGGAATATCGTCGAAATCTTTCTTCGAACGACACTCGAAATTCGTCCTAATCAATTCCTCGCGAATATTTAATTATCAATTCAACCTTTGTTCGAGGCTAATGGTTTTGCGAGACGAGGAAAGTAATGCTATTGTAAGAATTTCGAGGAATTTTGAATGTTCGATCAAAGACGAAGGGTTCGAGGCAGAAAGTGTTAAAAGTCAGACACGTTTTATCTGATACGAATTTTATTACCTAGTATAGTTCTATCTGGTATCCGAATTTCAGAAAACTTTGAAAG